CCTCGGTTCTTATCACGTATCGATAGTAGAAGACATGCAAATATTGACAGCAATTGAAGCAATGCAAGACGAACGGAATGACATCATGCATGAATGTGCCTCTCGTTTAATGCAGATCAGATCGGAGAATAACTTGACATTGAACCATGGCCCGGACGTTACAAGATGAAGCAAGGCCACGTCGACTCTTTGAGATGACCCCAGAAGGACGAAAAGAGTGCTTACAACCACCCACACATACACAACCGTGACTTGGCTGTGATATTACCTGCATTATAGTCCCCTCAACTGCCGAGTCTGTCTATTGATTGGCGATAACAATCCATGTCACTTCGGCCGAGAGATCGGGTCCGGAAGCGAAGCGAAGCGTTAATACTACAGCCTCAAAAGATCTCCATCGTTAGAACCTTTCGGAATTCGGTCCAACGTCCAGCGGGGTCCCGAGGCTTGCGTCTTGAAACAAACGTAATTTCTACCGGTACCTGTCTTCGAATACTAATCACATGAGGCACATACACGTACGTCTAGTATTACGAATCCCTCCGGACGCAGTTTCAAATACGGCGCCGACGGGTACCGAGGCCTTCTGTCTGTCCGTCGGAGGGATTACCAAGACAGAACAAAACAAGAGACGGAGTTGGGAGAGTGCAAATGCCATAGTGACGCACCATTGGACACGCAGGATCCAAAGCTGAGTTTCAATCCAGGCCCCAATTACCCCCTAAGGCGAAGCGTCCGAGCCTCGGCACTGCATTGCTTACGACCGGAGACGTTTTCTCAACATGGACAGAGCTGAATCACAACCTCCCCAGCTTTTTTTTCTCTGGCGGCCGGTGCGTTCCCCACCGCCGGTCGATCCCCGAGGGCGCCGGTGCCGAAACACTCTGCACTTGACGGGGATATCTCCTCATGGGAATAGCGTCCCGCGTCCTAGCGCTTTTTCTTAGCTGCCAGTGGGAGAGCTGACCCAGACACCGCTCTAAACCTCACGGAGATAACAACCCCAGAGAGACAAGACATCCCGCACTAAGAGAGCGTGCTAGCTAAGTGAGGTGGTTTATTTAGAGCAACGTGAGTGTGAAAGTGAGGTACTAAAAGGCGTGAGTCCCCGAATTGTTGAGACTGACCCAAACTACTGACTAGATCTCTTGTTTACTTATTCAGTGGACGAAAATAAGTGTGTGATACGCTTTGTGTTTATCATCGTGAAAAAGATACAAATACGTCACCTATAAATACCTGCCGGAAGGATCGACTGTCTTACAACTTTGACCCAAGTTAGATCGAGAGACACAAACCTGTTGCTCAACATTCCACAACACGACCACCTTGCACCAACCAACACCAACACCAACACCACCTTACACAAACCAACCCTACTTCCACCAAGTAAACAACACCACCATCACACCTATTTCACAATGGCCCGTGATAACCTCTCCATCGTGCTCGCCGAGCGTCCCACCACAGACATCATCCCCGGCACAACCTTCACCCAAAAGACATCTCCAGCTCCCACACCAGCTGATCTCCAAGATGGCCAAATCCTCGTCGAGACCCTCTACCTATCCCTCGACCCCGCCATGCGAGGCTGGCTGCGAGGTACATCTCCCCCCTTCTCAGTAACCTCTCCTCGCCACTAACAACCCCAGACATGCGATCTTATCTCCCCCCCGTTCAAATCGGCCAAACCATGCGTGGTTCATGCGCATGCCGCGTCCTCGCCTCAAAGAGCAAGCAAGCCAAAGAAGGCGACATCGTCTCCGCCCTAACAGGTTGGACCGAATTCGCCATCCTCCCCGAAGGTCGTTTCGAGCCTGCATCTTTGTACCCCGGTCTCCAAGACCCCAAGGACATGCTTTCTGCTCTTGGCATGACCAGCTTGACTGCTTGGGTTGGCATGTCCAAGATCGCTGATCCTAAGCCTGGCGAGCTTGTCGTTGTCTCGGGTGCTGCTGGTGCTACTGGAAGTGTGGCGGGCCAGATCGCTAAGCTCAAGGGTGCGAGGGTTGTGGGTATTGCGGGTGGTGATGATAAGTGCAAATGGCTCACTGAGGAGCTGGGCTTCGATGTTGCATTGAACTACAAGGCGGATGATTTTAAGGAAAAGTTCGCTGAGGCGACAAAGGACTATATCGATGTCTACTACGACAATGGTCAGTCTCCCCCGAATCTTCAAGCATGACAGAACTAACATATCTTAGTTGGTGGGGATATCCTCGATATGTGTCTCATGCGAGCCAAGGAACACGCCCGCTTCATCGAGTGCGGTCTCGTCAGCCAGTACAACGCCGCCAAGCCCCAGGGCCCCCGAGCATTCTCCCAGATCGTCACCATGCGCATCCGAATGCAGGGCTTCATCGTCCTCGACCACGTCAAGGACTTCCCCGCTGCTCGCGCTGAGCTGGCTCAGTGGATCGCCGAGGGTAAGCTCAAGAAGACGGAGACTGTTGTTCGTGGTGGTCTCAAGGTTGCTGAGCAGGCTCTTGTGGACCTGTACAAGGGCATCAACACTGGAAAGTTGATTGTTGAGATCAAGAACCACAATGAGACCCCCTCGAAGCTGTAGAGAGTGAGGTCAAATAGACAAAGATTGTCGTTTGTGGTATGCATACTTGAGAGTTGATTTGGGATCAGGAACGATGAGACCCCCCGAAAGTAGGGGATGGAATGGGATTGTTTATGAGATACTCCGTACCTTGTCGGTAGTTAATGATATGCCATGATTTATGGACAGGCTGTTCAGTCTTCACTGCTGCATGTTGCTAAGTATTTGTTCAAGACTGCTTATCTGAACAACTCCTGTCGTTATTACTGTCCATCCAGATCCCTCGCAACTTTTCTCTATCCCTGTCTATTGATGCCATACTATCAGTAAACGTAACGAAAGTAAGGGTTCTCCTTATCAGTCAAGTCTTGAAACGCCAGCTTTGCTCTCTCACTCTCATCGTCCAACCCAAGGGCATCCCTCCTCTTGTTCTCATTCCTCAGAACAAAGTACAGCGTAGTCGACGCACAAATACAAATGATGTAACTAAAACAGTTAGTTATTACCAAGAACAATTTAAACCAGACTTACCAGATGATTAAACCCAACCAAAGAGCAGGATAGTGATCCTTCTTCGTCTGACTCCAAACAAGCTGTGGCCCAACGATATTTCCTACACAATACGCCACAAAGATCGTAGCAGCCATGAAACTCTTCTTCGTATGACCCGCAACATTCGACATTCCAATAGTGATTATCAGACTCACCGTTCCTCCAAAAAACCCTGTTATCGAGTATCCCACCACCGGTGCAGCAGCGCGGTAACTCCACTCGCTCTTCCAGATGATGGCACAGCCTGCGATGACAGGCAGACATGTAAAGATGAGCATGAAGATGCGGATGTTGGTGAACTTGGAGCCTAGCCAGCCTGTGAGGAGAATCACAATGAAGCACAGTCCGCCGAGGGGGAATTGGAACAGGATGGAGTGCAGGCTGCTCCATCCAAATGTTGAGACGATGAGGGGTCCGAAACCGCTTACGGCGCCGTTGACGGTGTATGCTGATGCCATCATAAGTGCCACGAGCCAGATCTTGACGTCGAGGATGGCTTCTTTGACCTGAGAGCTTTTGAACTTGGTGCAGCGAACGCCGGTCTGTCCGTGTCTCAAGCGCTCAACAGCAGCGAAGCGCTCTTCAGAGGTGAGGAACCAAGCCGACACAGGGGAGTTCGGCATGATGAAGCAGAATAGCCCAAAAAGAAAGGTCAGTGATCCAGCGAGGAGGTAGATATACTGCCATCTCTTCAACCCCCCACCCGTAATCTGCGCAAAACCATAGTTCATCGCTCCGCCGATAATGGTGAACAGTCCCGTCGACGAGAACCACCAACTCTGTCGCAGCGACTGCTCAGACTGCGTATAGTACCCGGAGACAATGCACATGAACCCAGTGGGGATAATACTCTCAACAAAACCGAGGAAGAATCGCTGGACGTATAAGCCCTGGTAGGACGTTACTGCAGCAGTGAGCATGCAAATAGCAGCCCACACGACGACCACGCCGCCGAGAACACGACCGATGTTGAATCTCTGAAGAGCGAATGTCATGGGATACAAACCCGCCAGCATCCCAAAGTAGAACAGCGACGTCGCCCAGCTTAAGCGACGGGTATCGACTGTTGGCGGTGTCGTCGATGCATCAACAATAGTGAGGTGTAAATCTGTCGTCATGCCGAAGAGAACAGCTGAACCAAGAATAGCTTTGTCGTAGTATACGAGACCATCTACACATGTTAGAATCGTCTGAGAAGGATGTGGTACAACGTACAGCCTATGATCATGGCGGGGATGAGAAATAAGTCAATCTTTCGAACTGCGCGCGCCGCGACGATGGGATCAACTGAGTGCTGCTCCTCGCCTACGATGGCGATAGCTTCATCTCTTGTTCCTACCGGGGGCGCCTGCGCGGCATTTACTTCACTTTCTGTTCCCATTTTGCTCTTGTGGCGAAGATATCATGAGGTTGCAATGAGCAATTGAGTTCTGGAAAAACTAGCTGCGAGCTCCAAGAATTGGCTATAAGGTACGCTCTGTGTTTTTAGCCGCAGCCAAGCAAATCAAATGTCATATGATGCATAGCTTCAATGAGGCAATTTTTTCATCACCATCGATAGCCGTTTTAAGCCTCAGCTGCATTTCAACACCCTTGTAGCTCATTGAGCTAAAGTGAACTACTAGATTTTTTTTCAGTTGGTGTTCTGGGCCTGCGGATGTGAGCCGGGATTAATGAATGGTTCGTGGGGGTTTGTCGATCCATGAATGGTGAGATTTCACTCTACGGCCCGTTTAGTGACGCCTCGCTTGGAGATGCTGTGTTGTATTCATGATATGATGACAAGTATGCCTAGCAAAAAGACTCACCATCGCTAATCTAGGAATGCATGTTCTATAACCTGTGATGCCCTAACCCCCCCAACGCCTGGCTAGCAGTATTCGACGACCCTGGTATCAAATCAGAAGATTCTCTTAGTACTGGGTCCAACCCATTGCACTTCTGTACAATTCCTATTCGACCTCCACTGTGCAATCCTCTCAGTCAGCCATCCTGACTTAAAATCCACCCATCGATCTTGGCGATCTGGCGGTGGTGGTATAACATTGCCCTTGTCGTCTTTGACCTCAGGCTCGATGATCTTCTCGGGCTGTCGCGGCTCGCCGACTCGGAAGGACTTTGAAGTAACACACTTTTTCTCGTCGCGGCCTCGCCAATTATACTGTAGACAATCGCTGCTGTCCTTGCAGTACTTGCCACACGCTTCAAATGAGTCGATTCTTGCTTCGGGTGGCGCAACTGTGAAGTCCCATTTGCCATTGTCCCAATTCTCTGCAACTTCGCGATCACCGGGGTGGTGAAACTTCCATACGTCAGAGTAGAGTAACGGGCGCTATGACAGTTAGAAGGTTAGACAAAGTTTACCGGTGTTCAACTTACCCCGAGCTGTCGTTGCGCAAACTCCCACCGCCAAACGTCAACCATGTCCTTCGGCGACGACTTGTGTAGCGTCATGACAGGCTGGCACCAATACTTGTCGCTGAAGGGAATACTGTGCAGAGGATGCGGGTTGAACAGCGGCCAGTATCCTCTCAGCGGAACACTAACGTTCCACAACGCCCATCCCGTAACGCTGTCACCGCAGCAATCGTCCCGAAGCATGGGAAGCCACTTTTCCGTTGCTGGCGGCTCGACGTACTGTCCGTAGGGCGTTGTCTTACGGACGAGGAGTGCCCTCATCGCACCACGACTGAGAACAAAGCCTGGCCCGCCGTTTGCGAACCATGTCTTTATGTCTTGTTTCACGTCGTGCGTACCCGGCGAGGGAGAGCCCATGTATAACGGCGCATCGGGGTCGAAAGTTTGGAGGAAGCGGAAGGCGTTGTCCCAGAAGACGTAACTGTAACCGTTAGTGGCGTGTCAAGCTGCGTGGGTGTGGAAACTTGCGTATCTGTCTCGAAGAAGAAGTAAAAGTCTTTGTTTGGCTTCATCTTCCATGCGCGCTCTATCATTGGGAGGAATTTGAACTTGTCCATCCTCCAACCTTGGATGCGCGCTGTCGCTTCCGTGTCCACGTCGAGGGTGCCATTTGCCCGCATTTCCTTCTGCCACATGTAGTTCACGAAATCGGGGTTGTCGTGGTAGTAAATGGCGGGTAGGTCGGCGAGGACATCGATCGCTTGATGGTCGTGTATCGACTCGTCGAGATCCGAGAAGACCAGCAGCTCGTCCTTTCCAAAGCAAGCGCTCACACTGTCGAATTGAGCATCGAGCCTTTCTTTCGTGTCGGCATGGCCCATCTTCAAGACAGGTTGTATCGTCTGTAGCAAATGCTTGGGGAACGTCGCGCAAAGGTCTTGGATTGTCTTACCCTCGGGATCGACGGACACGGGTCGAAAAGAGCTCGTCGTCGAAAAAGAATAGTACTGAGATACACCATAGCTACCATGGATAGCACCCCAAAAGACAAGAATGAGAAAGATGACGGTGCAGAGGCCAGCAATGGCCATGCGACTGAAGCGTTTATTGAGCATCAGTCGCCGGCTGGAGGAGGACCAGCTTGAAGGCATTGCAGCTGGAGCTCGAACATGGCACTAGGGCCCTGTTTTGCTAAGAAATGACGATGTGAAGATTGTTTTGGTTTGGGTTGTCGCGGGAAGAGACATGATGGGATCCAATGGATGGATGGAAGTGGAAAGCCGGGATAGTCTTAGGGTGACGTTTTCAAGGGGCTAGGTCCACTAAAAGCATGCCCCTGTCGCGGGAGCAGGACGCTCTAGAATGAGTCTGGAATCGAGTCTTGGGAACGCCAGACTTTAAGTTGACAGTAGGAAATACGAGGGACGATTGACAAGTTGTAAGCTTGTGGTTGAGGTTATAATAACTTGCTAAGCGCAAGATATGACTCTCAACTCGTCAACACAAAGCGAGGGACAACTCTTTGTCCTGTAATGAATTTGAGCAGTGCAATTCGCTCTATGGTGATAATTTTAGAAATAATTGCAATATTCTAATTAGACATCTTGAGGCCTTCTTCTATGTCAGGTAAATCGATCGTTGGGAGGTTGACCGTTTCCCCCGTCCATGCTCACTCAACATCTTGAGAAACACGATGTGCATTCCTCGCCCTCACGCCTTCTCCATTCCCACTTACCGTCCTAAACACTGAACTCGAAGAAACATTCTCGTTCATCATGACTCTATCCCCTACGCTCTCTTCAACTTCAGCCCTCTTGCTCTCACCCCCAAACCTCTTCCTAACCCAAGGCAACAGGTTATAATACCCACCACAAGCAAAAACACCACACCACAAAACAAACTCGGTCGCATAGATCACAATACCGAGAACATCAAGCTCAGTTTGGAAGAACACGGACACAAGTGAGAACACGTCCCCTGCTGCGTCAATGGCTACAAAGAGAAATGATATACCACGGACTGTTCGGTGCTTCCAGATGTCCCAGTAATGTGTTAGCACGCCTGCTGCGAGTAGTGCTGCGGATAGAGACGCCATGAGGATGAGAGGCCATTCTAAAGAGAGGGATTTTGCGATGCGAAGGGCGATGATGAGACCTGCTTGGATACCGCCCATCACAACTGCGATTGGGAGAACAACGAGCAGAGAGCGGTAAACACTCCATTTCTGACATTCATTAGCTTCATTAAGTGCGAGCGGAATTAGCTTTTGTACTCGTTCGTAGTAGTAACACTGAATCCAAGTTACGAGACTCAAAAGCGTCAAGATCTGAGGCTGTATTCGTAAGGCGACGTTGAATTCTTTGACGATGTTGTACACGCCCAGCGGCACTCCTGCCCATGCCCACAGCATCATCATCGATGGCTGAAGACCCGTTGCATTGTGCCTTCGATAATTGACGATGATTTGAGGGATCAGCTATTGAGTATTAGTGGTGGTCTTGGACGCAGCTGAGAGGACGAACCTGGATTGACCAACAGACCTAGCAACGTATGTTAGCACACAGCTTTCAGCAGGACAGACAAGAGGACTTACAGCTCCGAGTGTGCCTAGAATATTGGCTGCGACAGGAACATCCATTTTCGCACCGAAGAGAACCTGGTGGTTGTGTCGCGAAGGTGATAGAGGGTGGTTGCATGAGATGAGCACGCCGAAATTGACGCGCCAAGATGTTAGTGTACACTGCTAAATTTGGTGGAGATGCTTAACAGTTAGCATTAGCACAATGGATAAAGCAATTACTTCAGGATTAAAGCCAATAACTCATAAAATAGAACAGAATACAGGAGGGATTAATTAGACGCAACATCTCTAAAGACAGACACGATATACCGAGCGGTGATAATGACGTCGGAACAAGCGACAAGACTCACTCAGGGAGCGAGAAGAACATTGATATTCGACAAGGGTGCCAAGAACAGGAAGTCTAACGATCTACTGGACTTACCCAAATTTACCTAAAGCTCTTCATTGCCTAGATCAGAGATCCTAAGCTCGGGCTTCTTACCTCCTCTAGACAATGTCGTAAGAGTAACGATCAGTGCCCTCGACAGTGAACAACATATCACTAGCCCTTACGCCAGAAAATGAGAAGTCCGGTTAATGCCCTCACGTTGGGCCCATACCTTGCTTGTCTTCTTCAACTCTATTTCGAGTCCTGGCCGTAGCATAACGTCCTATTAAGAGCAAACCTTCTCATAGTGTTACAAAGCAGCATTATCACTGCGATGTTGAACTTGATCATTGTAAATTTCTTTATTATTTCGTTTCCCCATAGTTGGGCACAGTTCACGCCCTTTTCCGATGTACATGACCATCCCATGGTCACATCTCCCAGTCTCGCCCCCAGCTCTGATCTTCTGCCTTAGAAGGTTGTCTGCATCTTGGGATAATCCTTAGCCTGGACATGCAAGTCCGCATAGATAGCTGCAGACTGGTCATCAGCAAGATGCTTCATACGCTTCACATCATCATCCTCGAGATGCTCAAGCACCGTCTCGGGCTCCTCCTTTCCATCCTTCTGATCCTTCTTCTGAGGCTCAACAGCCTTCTCAATACCATCTGATACACCGATGAGGAGGATCTGGGCGTTGGGGTAGTCAAAGTGGGATGGCTTGGAGGGAAGCCAGCGCAGGGAGCGAAACTCATCGATGATTCTACTAATATTAGCAATTGAATTCACAATAATAGAGAATCATACTTACTCCTTGGGAAAGTCAGGTCCCTGAGGCAATTGAGTGTTCTGGGGCCCTGGATACTGAGGGTTCTTGGTGCTGATGATGAAGCTTCCCTTCTCCTTCAGCCCCAATTCCTTCTGAACCTCCTCAAGCTTCTCAGGCAGCGTCGTCAAATAAGCCAAATGACTCTCGCGACCAGTCGATGTGATAGCATAGACACCCTCACCAACAGGCTTAGCAGGTGGTGTACGACGTGTACCAGCAGTCTTGGTTTCATACTCGTCTGCAGACAAAAACTCCTTCTTCATCTCATCATATGAGACGCCGGACTTTTCGACGAATACCATGTAGCGCTCTTTTCCACTCTCGGGAAGGGTCTTCTTGGGGAGGGCAAGAATGCGAGTGTTTCCGGAGTCAGCAATGGGACCGTCACCGAGACGAGCGTCTTTTGCGATGGGTCGGAGCATGATGAAGGAACGGGCGATGTCATCAACGCTCTCGGGGTCTTCGAGGTTCACGCGACCGCGGATGAAGAAGTAGATGATGCCCTTTTCGAGGATGCTCGAAGGGACATCAGGTTCCTCTGAAGGCTGGACGGCATCTTTGCCGTTGGTCTCCTGCTTCCCATTGGTCTCAGAGCCTTTGCTGTTGGCCTCTTTCTCGTCATCTAACTTGGAGTCTTTGCCATTGGTTTCCTCCTTCTTGTCAGACTTGGCCTTGGAGTCGTCTTTCTGTTCCGCAGCGCTGTCATTGTCCTTCGAATCATCCGAAATGACCACCACATCATCAAGAGTCGTCTGGCCAGCCTCTTTCTTGGTGCGCTTCGCATCAGGAGAGTCATGCTGAATCTGGTGCTTCTCACCAGTTGCAGCTTGTTCCTCGCCATTGCTCGTCTTGTCGACGTCTTCGTGCTTTGATTCAGACATTCTGGGTAGTCAATGGTGTAGCAGACAATAGAATTGAAGAATCGACAGGTTGTTGATGACAAGAATAAAAGACGTTGAGAAATGGCGAGATTGACGGAAAGTGGTGGACGCGTCGCGTTGATTGTCGTACAGGTGATGTCATAGACATGTTGTCTCACCAACTTTCGTGTTTGCTTCGTGTTTTAGTTGAGCCACACAAATGATAGCGTCATTGTTGATTCAGATTCCGTTGTGGCTTGGTCCTTTTGTAAGTGGGCTCATTCTTCATGAGATGCTGTCATTGGCAGTCTTGACCATACCAAGACCACCGATATCACGCTCGAGCAGTCTCAATGCTTCTCTAGCGAAGGGAGCTGCTGCCCCACGGACTCTCAATGCCCATCTGAGTTCATCGACTCGAGATGCACACCATGCCATCTCATCAAATGAGTCTGCTGTAGCCCAGAGGAGACCGGCCAGAGATCCAATCTCGGCTGCTTGATATGCAGCAGCACTTCCCCAGAACGCAGCAGTGTGCTCGGGACGTAGTGATCCTAGCAGTTCGATTGCTGATTGCAGCTTGGCTCGAGCTGTCGATCGTAAAACTTCGTAGAGAGAGGCTGGTGTGTCTGGTGTTGTGATTCGGACCAAAGCACGATGCAGTGCGATTTCTACTGCCGCATGGGCGAGATGAAGAGCTCCATTGGCACATAATTCTCTAAGCTGAGTGTTTTGTAGTTGCAGTCGAGCTGGTAGATTTGCGTGCCACTCTCGAAGGCGAAAGACCAGAGGTTTGGCCAGTTCAACAGCAGCGACAACACCCATTTGATCCAATGTCCCTCCAACGCGAGTGGCTGCAGCACTGTAGAATGTTCGAATCACATCACTCAAAATCTGCGTCAACTCGATATGACGAATAAACAAGTCCCATCCAACAATGATAGGTGAAGTATGATCTGGGTTCGCTTCAGGACCCATCTGACCAAGCTCGGGATAATCTGATGCAGTGCAAGGCCGAACATCCCAGTCGTTGTCTTGGATGAGAAAGGGTCGTCCGTGAACACATGCTCCCCAGCGATCTTGCATATACAAAGCCCAAGCGAGCCGTCGTCGCAGACCGACTTCCCATGCGGGTATCGACCAAGAACTACAGTCGATGTGAATACCCAGATCTTGAGCCATGGCGACAATCTGAGCTGTGAACATACGGTTCGACATTGGGTGTGTATGAGATCCAGACTCGACAATCTTTCGGTTTCGTTGCAGGAGAAGTAACCCTGCCTCCAGCGTACTAAGCTTGGGCCGTCGCATATCCTGGTTGATAGTTCGTTCAGCTAATTCTTCAAGGGCTGCTGGATCCGGGATAGATTCGACTTCGCGTCCTGCAAGTTGACTGTCGTAGAGTTGCCAATCGAGAGCTACCAGATACACTGCAGCGAGTAAAGACGGTGCAAAATGTCGATGAGATAAACGGTGCTTGCTTATAAATACGTCTTTATGCAAGATGGGAAAGCTGGGGTGAACAATTCGAAAGTAGAGATCGACCAGCGTGCGGCCAAGGGGATGAACTGTCGCTTCGATGGCATCCAGATCTGCGATGCGCATCTTCTCGGAAGCAGTAGATTCATCAGGATGAACGAGGAAGACAGTCTGATAGTCCAGTCGTCTAGCAAACGTAGAGGTTGTAGACAGCGGCGGGGCCTCCTGGCTCAACAGATTCGGGCGATGAAGGTCGAGAAGAACGGGGTCACGATAATCGGTTGGTCCGATATACTCAGCATGCGTCTTCAAGTCTAGGCCGAGTGTATTGCTGAGAATACTAGGTCGAGACGGTTCAGGCATGTTCTCCTCAAACGGCATCACTTGCTGCATCTGAGCGAACTGCTGGTTACTTTCCACACTCGCGGGAGTAGACGCAGTATCACCATGTCGACTCGAGGGAGACGCCCCCGTCTCAAAGCCCGCGATAGGCGATGTCGTAGAGTTTCCCTGATTCTCATCTCCGTCCCGAGCGTCGTTCTGCTTCTCACGTTCCTTTTCCCGATTCTGTCTTCTCTGACGAGGTGTAGGCCCACGCAGGAACGTACAAGGCTGGTTGTGAAAAGTACATAAAACACATCTCGTCTGACCCTCCTCCTTTACACACCGCGTCTTACGCACACGGCACGTGTCACATGGCCGCGCACGGGCGTTAGCATTACTATTACCGGCAGAGGCACCGGAGGCAGCCATCAGAGGACGGCCAGATCCGGAGCCGGACCGGGAGAGATCAGACGGGCCGGCGCCGTGAAGCGGGTGCGAGAACATGACCCCACAGGACGCGGGCGTTCTATGTCTGAGTCTGGCTTGTGATAAGAGACAAGGGGCCCATCTTCTGGCTGTGGGCCGACCAGTTGACGAAGCGGGAGTCGAGGTCGTGTCGTGGGCGTACGGCGTGATAGTGAGCAGCCATCCATTGTTGATGATCCGCCATCGGGGGCCGCGCCTTATCAGTTCGTCCTGCTACGGTAAGGTCGTAATACGATAAGGAATCATCGGTCGGAGATGGGAATGCCCCACGGGGTCGGAATTACGGGGAAACGGATATACCGATGTATGTATGTTCATTGTGAGACTTGAGTTGATCTGGTTGAAGAGAGGAATTAGCCATGTCTGAATAACTTCAACTTGAGTATATCTTCTGCGATATTCACAAAAAGTCAAAGACATATGTCGATCTGTCACAACTTAACAAAAGTCCCTCCACTTTAAACACGGAAGCCGAGGATCCAATGGCATAAGCCATGTCTCAATCACGAGCCTGCATCTGCATTGTTCCTTGCTCCCGTTGCCTCAGACATGCATCAACGCTTCGAAACGATATATCCTTTTCGAGTAAATTGACTGGTAATATACGATCTCGCCGCCGGCCAAAACAGATAGTCCATCGTGGACCAGGTTGACAACCACTTTAGCCGCCGGCGAGCTCCATGATTGGCCCAACTATTTCTGGGCCTTC